GTGGGTACGATTGCCGATTCTTCACAGTGTTGGTAATAAGCAGGGAAGGGAGGACAGGTGTGAGCTGCCTTCCCGTTTTGCTCGTTGTGGTGCACACATGCATGCTTACACGTATATCGATAAATATGTGTGCTCACAAACGCAGAGTCATGGACAATATATATATATATGTCCTTTTTGCTTTGTCTGTCCCTGATGTTCATCTTTTTGACTGTCATCTGCTCCTCCCGTTGAATTTGGCTTCTTGGTTGTTTTTCTGCCGTGTTGCCCGCGCCCTCACCCTCGCACCACGCTGCCCATAAGGAGGGTAGGGGGCTTCGCGGTAGGAGAAGCCGGCAACAATATGTCCCTCTTTCAACGCGGTGCGATTCTCCGCGCGTACCACTACGTGCACCCCAAGACAGGGAGGCCCATCCGCCAATTTCGCCGCTACGGCGACCCTCGCTTTATCAACAATGAGGCAGCACTTATTAAAGGACAGTGGGGCCTCATCACGGCCGACTTTGGGATGGTGACGCAGTCGCAGCTTGAGAATGCCCGTCTGGCGATGCTGCGTCGTCTCCCGCGTGGCGGATTTACGCTTACGATGCACACCAACTATGAGGAGTTCCCCGTCGTGAAGAAGAGCCCAGAAAGTCGTATGGGTGCGGGTAAGGCAAATATTCACCACTTTGCGTTCAAGTTTACAACAGGGATCCCGTTGTTTGAGATTTCGGCGGTCTCCTCGCGTCGCCTTAACCAGGCGGAGGCGGAGGGTATCTTTTTGGCCGGTAGACCTTTTATTCCGCTACAGACCGTCGTCGTGCCACAGGGCCGCGTCGATGAGTACCACGTCTTCAGGTAGAAAGGCTCGGTGCCATTGTGTTGTTGGAGGTTGAGCATGCCCCCAATGAAAAAGAGCGAAATACTGGCAAAGAGGAAGGAGTTACGGAAGTGGTGGTGCTGCATTTGGCCCACGCAAACCACCGTGTCACGAATGAAAAAAAAAAAAAACGGACAGGCTGGAGAAGACGTTGAGGTCTCTACGCACACCTCTTGCAAGCCCCGTCGTCTCACTTGACTATTTTGTCCATTTTAGGTGGCTGTTTTTCCTCATTTTCTCTGTGTGTGTGTGTGTGTGTGTGTGTTTGTCTGTTTTCTG